ACGGGGGGGGGGAGGGCGGGAGGCAGAAGGGGAGGAGGAACGTCAATGTGAGACACATCCACTGGCTGCCTCCCGCACACGCCCTGACGGGCTGAGGATCCAGGATTGAACTTGCAACCCATGTCCGTGCCCTTCGGTGCTCGAGCTGACGTTCTAACTGCTGAGCACGCAGGCCAGGGCTAGCCCATCTCAAATGAGGCCAACACTCTACTTACTTTGGGATAATCCAATTCAAAGAATGTTTCCAAGTTGTTGATGAGGTTGGGATCCACTCCTTTCAGTGGTTTCAGGAGAGACACGCCTGGGAGCTTGCTATACGGCTGTTTGTCTGTTGCCTTCTTGTTGAGGTGCAATCGGCTAAAAAAAGCAAACGATGTATACATTATTTCTGGAGAATATATTAGTGCCAAATCTATATACAGTATATAACAAGTTATCAAGAATTACTAAATTCTAAGAAATTCTAAGTTGAATTCTTTTTTAATGGACCTTTTTCTCAAGGGATATCTGAAAATGAAGGAACGTAGAACCAGGGAAGCTTCTAGTTTAGGAAAACCAGAACTAGGAAGAAGGAATATTCCAATAAAGGCTGGAACTGAAGACTGTTGTTCATTGTTGCACTCTCAGTGCCTAGAACTATGCCGGGCATACAGTAGACATTCAATAAATACATGGTGAAAAAATGAACAACAGTTTAGCCCACACATTAACTGCCCTTCCGCCCACACTGCCATCAAACTGGCCCAAGAACTATAAAAACAGTGGAGGGGAAAAAAATCCCTGTATGCACCAAAAGAATATGGAAAGGTAACCAGAAAAAGCTGGAGAATTTGCATAACAAACAGTCCAGATAACGCCCGACTGAAAGAAGTACCAAGCTGCCCACGTGACAAGCAGGAAACCGGGATAAGTAGCAGAACTCCCAATATTCACAAGCTCCAAATGGCAGGGGTGGATCAGGGGGAAGTTGAGAGTAAGAAGAAAAAAAAATCTCAGTGATGAGAAAAATGTCTATTAATGACACTGGAAAATATATCAGAGCCACCAATTTATAGATAAATTGGTCAAGGTTCTCAGCACTGGTCCACTTCAAGGGTGTTGCAGCACAGGGCTCCTAATGAGGGAAGTCGTGCCATTAGGAAAGAGAGACTGTGCCCCAGTTAATGCCAGGCTGTCACAATAAAGAAATAAGACGCCATTCAGCAGAATGGTGAAGTTTCTAAAGGAAGTCACCAAAGGCTGCCTCCCTCCTTCTCATAAGCAGGTCTCCAAGCTCTCCACAGAGACTAGAACAGCCAGGGGGCCATCTGCAAGCTATCTTAAGACATACATTCTTTTACATTTTAGTATCTCTGAAATCAATGGCATCTTACAATTGCTGGCAGCCAGATGGAAGCCCTAACTTTGTAGCATGAAAACCAACCAATGAGACCTCTAAAAGACCAAGAAAACACCAGCAGCATCAACGCATCTTAGGTTTGATGAAATACACTATTCATCTATGAATGACTCCTGGAAGTACACCAGAGCAGCCGGCCACAGGCTAGTCCCCAGTAATTAAGGCAGAGATGTACCACAGTAAACAGCTAATGTTTCAGGTAAGGCCCTACAAACATCTTTAGAGAAAGAAAACAGGTGACCTACAATGGGAAAAAAATTAAACCAACAAGAAACTTAAAAGATGGTGTATAAATTTCACAGCCACAACTCCACATGCTAAAAACAACGGAGCACCAGCTGGAGCAGTTCTGCCCAGTGAGGTCCAGCCCATGAGGTGCTGTGCACTGGTCTGCGATGAGAAGAAACCGAGAGAAAGCACTTAGAAACTTTTATAGCAATTTGACACTGCCAGGCCATCCAAACACAGGATCGATGATTGACTTTCACTGCAGTTTACCAAAGTATGACAGACGGGAAAAATTTAAAGGACTGATCCTTTGCCAGATAGGCTGGAAAATACTGATCTACAGAGTTGATCAAGAGGGCTGGACAGAGGTTAGACCGTGATCTAAAATGTATATAGCCACAGAAACGACCACTGTTCCATTTTTAACAAAACAGTAGACTAATGTCTAGAGAAACCCAGTGGGTACGGAACCTCTACGTTGCTGGGGGGAGAGGGGGGAGTTAAAATATTAAGAAGTTCGTATAAGTCTCCCTATCCTCCTGGCCCCCGCCTGCCTCGTTCCCAGCACTACCTCCCCCGCATTATTGGTGCCCTGCTTATCTTTTCAGAGGTTTTCTTAACACATATACAAGCCAAAACATATACATGTATAAATCCTCATATAATATTTATACTTTTCTCCCCTCTTTTTAAATACAAGTGCACAGAAAGCATGTTTTTAAATACATGACTGAACCCGTTAAGAAGGTCAAGGACAGCCTCCCGGAGGGAGAAGAGAAACCTCCACGTCACTGAGCGCTGCAGCGGCTGCTTGCCCGGGGGCCACCTGTCAGTCCCTGACGCCGCAGAGATGGTGACACACCTGAGACAAGGATCACAGGAAATACGTTCAGAGAGGCTTGTGTAAATATGGACTCCCTGAAAGACAAAGCAGAAAAATCCCGGCCCACGGAGAAAAGACATCCGGGGATGCGGCCTATCTTGAACTCAGTCTTGAGCTAAGGAGTCAAAGAAGCCTCTGGAGAGCACCTCAGCCCAGGGCTTGCAACCCAGCATGCAAACTACCTGCGCTGCTCGAACAAAACCCAAACGATGGAGTAAGAGAGGCCGTCATATGTGACGGCGACTGTCTGAAAAGAACCACAGGATGTCTAGAAGTGGAGATTATGATCACTGGCAGGAGAAACTCAACAGGTAAAAGAGAAGATTGCCATTTAAAAGGGAACTGGAATCTAGACTTGAAGAAACCGTCCAGAATGCAGCCCAGAGAGAAAGAGACGCAGAGACACTGGAGCCACGGAAGCGCTGGAGGACGTTTATCCCTCGGTCCCACCGACGGTCACTGAGCGCGAGCACACGGTCTCGAAACCCGCCCGAGCGGCGACGGCCAACAGAGAAGCCTCGCCCCCGGACACTGGTTGGCAAGGCTTTAGACGAAAATCACGGATAACTGACAGTGCTGAACAGTCGAGTGCGGATCCCGCTGCTCCGTGGTTCCCCCTCTTCGTGAAGACATTTTACTTCAAATGCCAATACAGATCTGCCTCCGGCCCCTTGAGGAGCTTCTCCTGCCAAGCTCCGTATGTTATCAAAGGCTCACCCACTCACTCTGGAGCCCTCTCCAGGGGTGTGGGGTAGAGAGCTGGTGACAGGCCCGTCTGCCTGGGAGCCCAAAAGTGGTCTGAGTGGCTGTCCTCCAAATGGGCCCGTTTTATGAGTGACTCTGACAGGGCCCTACAAGGTTTACTGCTTTTCAGGTCAGTTTTTATTTAAGTATCTAGGGTCATGGTTTCTGCATTACCCGAATAGTGCGAACTTGAGCTTGGGGGGGGAGGGAGGGAGGGAGAGGAAGAGGGAGGGGGAGAGGGAGAAACATCTATGTGAGAGAAACACATTGACTGGCTGCCTTCTGCACGAGCTCGGGGATCAAATCTGCCACCCTCAGGCTCGCTGGCCACCGCTCTGACCACTGAGCAACGCTGCCCAGGACAAGGGTAACCACTATCTTGACTTCTAACACCATAGACTAATTTTGCTGTTTTAAATTTTTATCTAAATGGAATCCCATAGGATATACTCGTTTATGAGATTCACCTTTGTGGTTACACTTAGTTCATTCAGACTCATTACAGCACAGTATTCCTTATATTAATGTACCACACTTTACTTAGCTACTTTCCTTTGATGGACATTTGTGCTGTTTCCAGTGTGTGACCATTACAAATAGTCTTCAGTCTTGTTTCTGCCCTTATATTAGTATCAAAGCCCTGGGCTCCCTGCTCCCACCACCCAGAACTTCAACTTTTGGACAAGATGAAGATACAGGTGTTAGGGACAGAAATATTAATCTGTTAACCGTGATTGTTAGCTGTAGTTATAAGAAATATTAATCATACTCCGTTAACCGCGATTGCTCTATTCTGATTAGAGAAAGCACATTCTAATCTGGCTGAGAGTTGTGTGCCCCGGGACATGGGAGTTAACCTGGGAATGACAGTCATGGAAAGATTAACAACCTTGTTCCTGAGACAATGGAGTCCCAGAGGCCCCCACCCTTCTGCAAACACCCAGCCTGCATTTCCTATAACCTGGAAACCGTTATACCCACTCTTACTCCTTTTGCCCACTTCCCCATGAAATCTTTGTCCTTCTACCAATATAAGCAGTTGGCTTATGGGGGAGGGGGGTTACAGCAGATTTTATGTGGATGACCCTCTTGCTCTCTCATACAGCCAGCATTATTGGAATAAAAGCTCGTATGTGATTCAGCCCTGTCTCTGCTTAACTGGGTGAAGTAGTGACAGGCAGCCCAGACCCACTGCGTCCGGTTTCACAGGGACTGTTTACTCTCACACCTGAAACTATTTTTTAAAATCAAACAAAATATAGGAAACAGCGGTTTGTAAAATATTGGTTATCAGGTAAAGAGGGGCAGTGATTCCTAAGACTGGGAAAACAAATGAGGTGAGCCCTCCAATCACCCCTTCTTACTGCTTTGAGATAATTTCCAGGCCATGGGACAGGGAAGGGAAACCCACACAGAACCAGTAGACAACCCTGAATTGAAGAGATGGAGTTGAAAGTCCAGAAATATAAAAATATCCAGCAGCTGGCAAAGTTAAACACAGAGTGTCTGACATCTAATAAAAAAAATTACCAGGCATGCAAAGAATCAGGGAAATATAACTAATAATAATAAGAAAAATCAATAATTAGAAACCAACCCAGGACTCTCACTGGGATTAAAATTAGCAGGCAAGTCCAACTCACTGCTTCGCATTCCCTCTTTGTTTCTGGTACCTGGAGATTTTCCTTCCTTATTTTCAGGCCTTGCACACGTGTGTGTGTGTGTGTGTGTGTGTGTGTGTGTATGTGACCATTATAGCATTTTCATGTTTTACAGACTAAAAGTGGTTCTCACACGTGCACCAGCCACATCTTGCTTGGTAGCAATTTCCGTAGAAGCATCTACACATGCAGTGTGATACAGACTCTAAAGAAACCAGGTGTGGACCACTTTGAGGCTGCAGAGAAGGAAGCATCTATTTTCCCAGGAGGTGGTCCTTTGAGACTTCCTCACTCCAAGGCTGGCACTCAGACTCCTGGCTCCCACTCCCAGCACTCCTGAAACAGAATCTGCATTTTAACAAGCCCCCGGGCGACTCACAGGCACATTTACGCTTGAGCAGCACAGCTTTAAGACTCTTCTCTTCCTCAACTTCGCTGCCAAGGCCTGTAGCTCATCCCATAGGCAAGAAATAACCACGAAAGACTGTCAGAAAGGAACAAGGGTCA